TTTTTATGGGAAATTCACGTGAGCATAGAAATCTTCCCGTTCCCATTTCCGCCACCCTCCCGCTCGTGTCAACTTCGCTACGAGCTGAAAATTTATAGGCCGTCAATTGTGAATGATCGTGTCTTAGAGAAAGCATAACACAACTCGAGAACACGCCTACCCTAATCGTCGACGCTGACAAATACACATCGCAGATCTCATTGGCTATTTTCTATTCCTTTGCAGCAGATCTGGTTTCGGTGTTTTGACAAAGGTGTCTATCCCACAACTGGAATAGTATCGACACGCAAGGCCTACTAAGGCGCTGTCACTTATGGAGCTTATGGCCACTTTGTACATTTTGTTGAAGATGTCTGGGAGGGCAGATGACTAGGTGACCTACGATCATCTGAGCTGTCGATGCAACCATAAATCATTTTCTCGGCTTTCGTGCACTGCGCGGCACATCTGTCCTTGTTTGTGACTTCTCCAACACCCACACACTGCAGCTTTATTCCAGCCGTATGCAAATTCTGATGAAAAGACTGGTGGACAAGAGAATAAGGAGGAGTATGGAGGAGGAGGAGGAGGAGGATGATGAGGAGGCGGGCCGGACGTGGCGGTCAACCCTTAGAACACTGCTGCGTCATCGCGTAATTCGATCCGACAGTTTATACTCAAGCGAACCGAGCCGAGTACCCAAAACAGGTTATACAATGATGGTCGGTCGGTGACTTCCACTCATCCTATCCCCTCCGACATCACTGATGTTTTACTTCGTCCTCGTTCGCTTATCACGGCGGAATCTTTGTGACATTCCAGAGAAATAAGTCATTAATCTGAGCTTTCCGTTGTTTATCTCCCTGGTGTTTCTCTTTTGCGTCAACATACTCTTTTCTGATCTTATTATTATATATATATTATTATATTATTATTATGATCTTATGTATACGAAGCTATCGAAATGAATTTAAGAAAGTCTGGCTTCACAAATATTGCTGTTCCGTAGTTTGCACACCTCTATCCCCGGCGCCGGGTGAGACCCATTTTTTGGACCTCTTTATTTGATTTGCTTCTGTAGTTGATTCCGAAACGGATGTTGAAGTCTACCGTACGGCCATACAGTGATACCTGGAATTTTGCCAATTAGTCCCAGCTGTTCAAGGAAGATGTCTACAGAGGTTGAGCGTTATTGAACTGGAAAAGAAAAGTCATTGTTTCTGTTTATGTGCAAGTATTACAAGTCCCATATCTCATCTGATCTTGCTGATAGCAGCATCAATTATGGGTTCCCAGCTCAGCACACTAGCGAAATCCCGAACTTCCCACCAATTAGAGGTTAATTACTGACCCGGCTGGGTGTCGGTGAGATCAGATGCACTCTCATACGCCTCTTTCAAATCGTGAAGTAAGGGCACTCAATCACTCGTAACCTCACTAATAGGCTTATCCACCTGTATCAGTTTCATCCGTCATATTGTTTATTCGTGGCGGCTCGTTCCTAACAATTTATGTACGTGTTTGAGTAATTCATTAGTGCGCTTCGACACAGCCACCACCTCGTGCCCGACCCGGAGTTCTGCTCGACGTTCTGTCCACTGATCGGCTATTAGCCCCGCTCTAAGTGTTTAATGGATTTAATGGCATGCAAGAGAGGTGGCTGGAAGTCGGACCTTTACATTCGGCGTTTTCAGTTGAGCCCTTAACGGAACAAGGAACCGCCCTCCCAAGTAATCCAACCCTTGAAACCATGTGGTATTTTTTTTCGGGATAGCCTAGTGGGCCCTCGCTGTTTGCTAAGCACGAATTATAGTTGTTTAACATCGGATTTACTCAGAGTTTGCCCTAACTCGTCCTATTTTTGCTGGTTTTCACTTATGACTTCATTCAAAAATTTCTCACTATCCCGTTGTTTTCTGATTTTTGTAGCTATCGGCAGGAAATATATGCTAAATGGGATGTTTTTAGTTCGAATACAGCTTGTGTGATGATCCCTGTACGGTCAAGACACCCTCATCCATCCATCCCATCTTCCTCAAGCTTTTCTAGCAGACATTCTGCGGTTCCTGTGCAATTTTTCTCCATTTTAATATTAGTTATTAATCTCTTTGTAAGATGAGCTGTCAGCAAGGTTTCCTTGATCTCGTTTGGTATTAATATGAGAAAGAACTCGAGATCATATCACGAAAGTTCCTCATGGGCTCTTTTGGCACTCATGGATGCTATCTTCAAAATTCTGAAGTGAGTCCTTGCTCCTGAGCATAATCACTGAAGGAGCAGCCCGTTTGGTCTTCGTGACGGTCATCTAAACCCGTGCTCAGCTTCAGAGCGCACCTGTGCGTGTCCATACATGGCATCAATCATCATTCCCGCCGTCGTGTACGATGTCGGAAATTTTTTGTCGCAATCGATCCTTTTCGCCAGTAGGACGTCTTTGGTCCAGAAATGGTCTCTGGAAATGTCTTGTTTCGGGAGTTGATAAGACTTTTTCTGGGTGTATGCAACTGTTGCGATATCTCGCAACATTCTAAAAGTCTGAGAAGTAGCATCTTTCCTCCCAACAGTTTTCGTGCACAGCACGTCCCCCTTCGGCGAGCAGACAGGTTCGTTACCTTTCCATGTTCTCCTGGATACGAGCGCAAACTGTGAAATATGGCCCTAGTTCTGAGTTCACGTGCGACCTGTTTCAAGCTTCCTGCCACATCAGAGGTGGGTAACATTTGCGCCTCGCATACCACTGAATGAGTGTAAAATGCGTCTCTGTGAGGTAGAAGGGGGTTTTTGAAGGTTTTCAAAAAATAAACAGGTTTGGCATTCATGAAAAGACATCAATAGCGGGGTACCGTACTTGACAAGCAGCTGGTACAGCTCAATGTATACGATGTACCCTTAACATCCTTACGAGACTGCAACCCGTAATTTAGTGATTAGTACAGCATTGAGCAATAACGTCTAGTGCTCTCCCCCTTGTCCGCTAGCATTAATCTAAGTGGAATTAATTGACGCTGCACGGAGGCACTTGATGCAATGAATGCATGAGATGACAGCGGACGTGTTCTCCTGTTTACTTGTTTATTGAGTCTTGGAGTTAGAACTCGTCCCTAACGGGCTATCTCCCATACCCGGTACATCCTATACTTTACATTTGCTTCCCACCGGTATCTGGTCCGTACGTCGAACAGTCTACAGTCGCATATCCTGTACTGAAGTACAGGCCGTAACGATTACTATTCAAGCTAATCTAGCTGTCATTCGACATTACCGACATTTTCTCGGCTGCCCATCATGCTTACACGGGTTCTCCTACAGGTATTAGATATCGCCCTATTGTCTGTCTAGCCCATCTTCTACCACTGCCCTCATATCGTCAAACCAGCTTGTTTCTAAACATTCTCATCTCCGTAAAATTCTCAATTTCAGAATGTCTGAGCCTCAACTATGGCCAGGAGCCATGGATATGTGGCAGTTTCATGCCCCGCTCCCTTCTGGAGCTTTTCCCGTGGCTGCTCCAACTCTGCCGATAAGCGACTCATCATCGAGCCTCGTCAAACTCGAGAAAGCAGATCCGATTGAGGTGAGTAGGCCTCTTACTGAATGAATAAATGAATTGCCCCCGAATGGGTCCACGTCATCTAATGGAGATGTAGCAGCTGGAAAGACGCTGGTCAAGTCAAATTCTCACGATGTTCTGACATTAAACTGAAGGCTATTTTTCAGCGAGCGCCCGGATAACTCTCTAATCTATCACATTTTATTGCGCGGCGTTCCCAAACCAGTTCGATGGGCCGCGCCGTATCACTATATCTCTCATGCTTACTCCCTAATCAGCATCACTTCAGAATTGATTGATGATAATCGGAATATTGTTCTCCCATCACGATTGGGGTGTAACTACGGTGCGAGTGACATGATGAATAGAAATATGTATGTGTTTCGAATACTAGCCTACTACGGATCAATGCCCCCCGAGTACCGTAGGGTTGATGGCACGCGTGGGCGTGGTCGAGGGCGGCGATTGGCCGCGATGCCGTCGCCGGGGGCGGGGTCACGTGTGGCGGCCCGCGCGCGTTGCCTGTGCGGCTGTTGCGAAGCGCTCGCGGAAACATCGTCAGAGAGCTGTCACCTCATATTCATCTGTATTTGCAAGAAAAGAAGCACACCACCGCCACGTAGCGCAGCGGCTAACGCGTCGTCCAGCCCGTCGTCATCCGTCAACGCCGTCCGTTCGTCGGCGAGTTCGTGTCCCCGCCCCACCGTCGTCGTGTGTGTGCCCACTAGGCATGGCCCACAGGGTACATTTTCCGTCTAGTCATTCATTCGCTCTTTTCCTTTTATTCACGACTTGTCGTTGCGTATTTGAAATATCACCGCGTAACATATGCGGTTATTTATCGCGGCTGTGGCTCCCACTGAGTGCAGCGGCGTCGTCGTTTCAGCCGTCGTCATCGGCGACGAACTGCACCGTTCAAGGCCCCTATGCGTTTCGTCGCGTTGCCATTAGGTCGACTATATTTTAAGCTACGTGTCAGAGAAGACAGCTCAATAGGCTATAACTTTGATGCCGGCTTTATGACCGCACTGCTTGCTTTCTTGCTACACCGCTTTTCTCTCATCCCTCGTCTCTCTCCTTCTCCACGCTATTTGAAAAAAACTCAATAATATCGCAGTTCACCTCAAACAACAACAAAACCAATCTTCGAACCTTTTTATTTATTGCTATAGGCAAAACATCTTTTGAGGAAAGCGCGGTTGAAGGAGTTTGACGTCGTACCTTGCCCACTGAGTGGCGTTCCAGCTCGTCGCAAAGGCTGTAAATCTCCCGTTAAGAGAGATGAGATCGACACCAAAGCAGCAGATAGCGCGCCCACTACCATCTCTTCTTTCAGTAGTTGTTGGTTTCTGAATCAATAATGGCTAGTGTTCAGTACGGTGATGGCTACGGTCCTCCAGCGCCTCCTGGTGAGGGGTCCTACCCTGTGCCTGCGGATCCTTCTGGAAATATGGCTCCGTACTATAACAGTATGTATCCGCTTGGAGGACCGATGTCGACTAGCGATCAGATGATGCATCCCCACCTCGATGAACAAGTGAAGCGTGACAAGGCAGCAATCCACTCGTGAGTTTTTTTTTTCTTGGAAATTCTTGGCCGGATTCGGCAGTGGAGGAGACTGCTAGAATGCTCCCCGGGGACGGGACGTTTGCTCGCTCCCTACTTACTTCTCAGCATTTTTTGCTAGAAAGGAAGCCGAGTTAAGATGTGCCCACTTACAGACATCCGCTTTTTCCTCTGTTAACCGTGCTGTTCGAGAAGTGCGAGCTGGCCACGTCAACTCCTCGCGAGCAGAATCGCGACGGAACGTCGAGCAATGACGTTTGCTCATCGAGTTCTTTCAAAGAGGACCTCGCCGAATTCGCAAAAACTGTGAGTTGTTTCTCTTTACTTAGAATATAATCCACGGATAAGCCATCTTAATATTAGGTAAAAATGGAGAACACCTTCTATGTGCCGAATCGGGAGCTCGACAATCTCATGCTACAATCGATTCAGATGCTTCGCTTCCACTTGCTCGAGCTGGAGAAGGTGAGTTTCCTTCACGTCATCTAAGATGGACTTTGATCGTTGCTCTACTTCTCCAAATCTTTGGTCGTTATCTCCAGTATCATATCAGAATCAGCGGAATCATTCTTATGCAAGCGAACATTTGGACAAGCTGTCATTCTTCCACCTACCTAACCGCCCTTATTAACCGTTTATCTAATTTTCGCTGGACCAATTCTTCTGATGTCTGGACTATCGGATCGCCTTTTATCACTAGACTAAGGCTTACCTCTTCTCAACTTGTTACTGTCAAAGGAATGTCTCCTTTCCATGCAGTTCCTACACCTGTACGGCGCTTATCAGTACTTTGTTATCTTATTTATTTCCGGGTGAAGACTTCGTTCATTCGTTTTTTGGACTCAGGGCGACCCGGCTCGGAACGGCATTCGCATTTTTTCGGCCTCGTCTCAACTTCATTCAATGAAAACGCATTTCCTCATTCGTTTTTATTTCATTGGATTTCTCTGACGGGGCGCTTCGCATGCGCTGCGGGACGCCGTTGCGCGGCCCTGTCGTTGTACGTGCTCCACACCGAATTGGAGCGTAGTCGTCGTCGACTTCGTCGTGGTCGTTGCCCAGATTTCTGAATGAGGCGTTCCATTCGTATGGGGCTACTTTTTCACAGTAGGGTTTGCCGGCAAGATCGATTCTGAGGGCGTATTACTGATGTTTTCCATCAGTACGCTACATAAATAATCGGTAACACGTATCACTTTGTCACTATAATGACATCGCTGATGGTCTATTGATCAGAAAGACGACAACGATGGAGAGGCGCGTGAAACTTTGATGGAACGACTTGAGCGGCGGCGAGACGTACGGCCGGCGTCGACACACGCGGATTTGTCTTCATCTCCAGACCGCTGACAGTCTTTATTGACTTAGTAGCAGAATCGTTGTGACAAATGACGGGTTTCTAATGGATGCGCCTGTCGGTAGAACAGGAAGAGCTGGACGAAGGTAGTCATAAGATGAGAAGTAAATGAGAGGTGGCCATGGGCACGTTTACTGAGTAAGCTTCTACTTATGTCGACAGATACGCCAAGAACTGGAGTACTGACGTCAGCGTAGCTGCTCATGTCATGAATCCGATTTCCTCAGAAAGGAGCATAAGATTTTGCGGCTGAAGCAATCATCCCCATTTATCGATATGAGCGAGCTTATACATCCACACTCGTTGTTGCTCACGGGCTATTTATGTGAGAGCTTGAGCTGGTAATCATAGCGGATCACAGCCACCAAAAATGGCTATTCCCATCCAAGTAATGAAGATTGAGGACCACACATACACACTTGATGCCTCGGTTTGAAAATGAATGATAGAAAAGTAAAGGGAAAGAAGCGGAATTCTCGAAAGGGGCCTCGACCTTCACTTGAAGACTTGTTGAGAAGGCACTAGTGCCTTTTTATAGAGCTGGCGTGGCATATCAAATAATCGCTACAATTTGCACTCGTGCCCTAATCGGTTGCCCTAATATCTGTACAGATTACTTCGTGTACTTGATTCTTCGCCTACCTACATGAAGTCTTGTGCCCGTGCAGCCTTTAGATTTGTTCCTTGTAAAGAGTTTGATGTTCTGCTTTTAGGTTCACGAGCTTTGTGACAATTTTTGCAACCGCTACGTCACTTGTCTAAAAGGAAAGATGCCGATGGACATCGTCGGCGACGAGCGAGCCTCTTCTTCCCAACCACCGATGTCTCCTGGATCTACCGCCCAATCTGCCAGCCCTAGCATGGGAACTCCAATGAGGTAATTGGCTCTTCACCCGAAAAATTGAACCGTGTGAACGTATGATTTCGATTTAGCCACTTCCAACCACCTTACGAGCCTCAATCCGTTCCATTGCCCGAGAACAATCGAGCGATGCCAAACTCAATGGAGGTCAGTCTGCACAAGCTTTTCGCTACCGTATTCTTCACGATCGATATAAATGCTGAATTTGAAAATGAAAACATCTGTTGTGTGACGTGCGCGCCTGACATATGAGTGAGTGCTGCGACTGATTTATAAGCGTCGGCGTCTTGGTCGTAGTCGAACGGCGTCGCCGTAGCGATCTCAATGAGGAGGATCAAGTCGATGGTGTTGTTACTGCTGGTGGCTGTGGTATCGATCTCGGCGATCAGTCCCACTCATTATTTCACCCAAACTCCACACATTGCACACCACCTGACGGGGAGGTTGCCGTGTCGTTACCCTCAGATCGAGGAGCTTGCTAGTGATTGTGTAAGCGCATTGATCGCGTTTAATGATAGTCGCGAAGGGATTTTCTGTTATCTCTGAGATAAACGACAGATTATCTCGGAGTAGAGCTTCTCAGCACTGGGACGACTGCCAATTTGTTATGGCCACTTAAACACTCCTAATAGCAGTGCATAAATGTTAGTAATTGACAGATGGCAACAAAGCTCTGAACTTCATAATGATACCTAGATTTCAATAATACGACGCTCCCAATTCATCATCCGGGTGATCGACCTCATCCAGTCATTGTTACATGAGGAAGTGAGGTTGAATAGATTGAACATAGGAACAACCATATTCTGTCAGTCACTGCTTTACGTGAGAATTCTCTGCACTGTAGCCTTCACCAAGAATCACGAACAAGCAATATTATCACCCCATGCCAAAATTCAAGGCTAGACAAGCTCGACCGTGCCATGGTTCGAGTGTTGGAAGACCTTCTTGGGGTGAACATCACTTAAGCTTCGACTCTGAAGGGAAAAACAGCATTTCTGGAGGGAAAAACCGATCTATCTGCGAACATGGCCTTATCGACACCCCTCTGCGTGGACACTTATCTACTTATCTACTTAGTTGATAGAACTTAATGGCAGACTCTGGCTGCATATAAGCAAAATTCTGTCTCTTGAAAATAATTTTCATGGTTATTATTTTTCTCAAGGCTTTTCAAATTAGAAAAATAATAAGTCTGTGGAGTAGTGACTCAAGGAAATTGATGCAGAGGTAAATGTCGACGCTGTTTAGTATGATTACCCACGGCCATTAACAGGTTCGCCTACGGCTTTTCGTTTAGAAACCAGTGAACTCCCTGAAATTCAAACAGCGAGCCTTTCTTTTCGCAGACTCTTTGGGAAAAAGTATATCATGCATGAATTTTAATTTTTTAGTAAATTCCTGGAGAAATCCATTTTTAGATAGTGGTGATAAATCGCTATGATTGAGACGTCCTGAATCCTGTTTACTAGCTTCTTAATACCATTTCACATCATACTAAGTTGGCATAGATAGCTATGAAGCCATTCCATTAGGATTAAGAGGCTCAGAAGCGGGCCACTCTCTCGTGCAAGTTCGAGCGTCAGCGTGGTCGACAATTTGGAAGCATCTCCTCGTTCGCTACGAGACACGAGACGGGGCGAGACGATGTCCGTTTGTGACGAAAGTCGCTTAATGCATATTTGCGCACTCACGCGAAGGGTATCATCTTTCTCTGAGATCCCCTTCTTCCCTGGTCAAGCAGCTAATCTTATGCTAATTTTGCGCTTTGCGGGAAATCACCGCCGCCATGTCTGCATGCCAACGAGCGGCAGGTTTCAAGCGCACCACTCGACTCACTCTCCTTCTGTCGGCGCTCCTTTCGTGAGTGCCACAAGGCTGATAGGGATGGCGAACGTGATGAGATGTATAGGTAGACGATGTGAAGGGTCCATGTGGACAGCAAGTTCCCGGAAGAAGATGTGAAGGGTTCAGATGGAAGGCAAGTTCCTGGAAAAAATTGATATCAAGGGGCTGTAATGAGATTGATAGAGATAAGAGGATGCAGCAGAGAGCTCCTTATAGCATTCTTCGTAAGTCCTTTGGGTCGTCAGAGCCAAAATTCCTGCAAAATAAGCAGAATCTGCAATTATTCTGGTTAATGACCCTGTTTTGTGAATGAACCCCCTTTTCAAGGAATATGAAGATCCTCTTTTTCAAGCATCTTCGATTGCTTTGATGACCTTTTCAATGACCGAATTTGAATCCACCTTTTTGGGGTCAAGCTCTGATGAAGGTCAATTGAGCAGCCTGAATAAATATGGGGTTGCCAGAGGAAGCCGAACGAGACAGAACTCAGGACAGCTTGAATCAAAGTTTTGAGCGTTTTTGAAGTCGTCTGACCGAGGACTCAGAGCCAGGTGAAGACTTGCCACCATAAATATCAAAACTGGTCTATGCAGCTCATTCAATACTCATCCGCACATTAAATTGAGAAAACCAATTGGGTCGTGGTGATAACGCGGCTGTACTCCCTCGATAAAAGCTTGAGATTCACGTGACTCCCCCTCAGATCGAGTTGTTGCTTTTGTCGTAACGGCTTCGCAGCGGGCAATGAACACAGATCTGAAAACCATTGCCATTTCGATACTGTATTTTGCACTCTGAATTTCGGTGGTGGCCTTGTTCGTCCTCGACCGCAACCACTGTCTAGCCCTACCGTATCCCTCAGTGCATCGTCTTCGTCGCAGTGTGTCTTTGTTTTATTGTTTTCGAAGCGGCGCCGCGCGCTTACGCTGCTTTGTTTGCATTTGAGCGCGAAACTTGTGCGCGGAGCCGGCTGTCCCCCTGGATTACTGTAGAGCTTCTGCTCGATTGATAAAGATATCGCTTTGGAAGGGAAAAGGTAGTATTCCCGAAATAACTTCCCGAAAGAGGGAGAGAGAGGTTCCAAGTGAAGGAGATGCTCAGACTGCGATTAAGGACGATCGATTGTTACAGATGCTTATCAGCTTGCTATTAGTTTTTTTCGTAAATGCCGCAGTGAAAGAGTGCTGCGTGAGCAGTGGAATGAAAAACGCCTCACAACCATTACGTTTTCTCAAAGGCTGTCAGTGAGATTGATCAACCAAACAATCCAATCACTTTTTTCCTCTTCTCTTGCTTTGATATTCCAATTCTTTTCGGAAACGTTTGAAATTTTAATGATTTCATTTCAGGGACCGTCAATGGGCTATCCATTACCCTCTCAACCGGGCCACCCTTTAGCGATGGGCGGGACGTCACCCTCGGCGGCTGGGACGTCCCAAACCCTGCCCATGCAAGCCGTCAATAGCCCTAGCAGGTGGGAAGAGATGAACCAGCTTTCCGAAAGGCAAACTCATCATGAGCCTGATTAGTTGAAGAACAAAGATGATTGAGAGCTATTCCAGTTCGACATGCCTCCGGAATGATGTCACTCCACAATCTGGGGACACACCTGTACAGCCCAACAACAACGGCAATCCTCCGAGCCTAGACTCAATTTCCGAAGCTGGTCAGTCCTTAAACAGCGAATGATAACACTTTCTATCGACTAACAACTTAGATGGATTTTCCATTTTTCAAATTGATTTTCAGTCCCGCCTGATCGCTTGCTTTGCAAACAATCCTTAAACCTACACACCTACATCTGTCCACTCTTTTAGCTAACTTCTTTCCTTTCTTTTCCTATGCCTTGGTCCTTGGGAAACTTTTTCAAACTCTCTTCTGAGGCCGTTCGGGAGAACTGAAGATCGAGTGTTGTCACCTCATCCGTAAACGGAAGGAAACCTAGTTGTAAAACAAAATAAAATTGATGGCCGTTCTGCAATCGACCAATTGAAATGATAAAACGAGAGCGAGATAGCACTTCACGAATCCTATTCATCTGTTTGGTTGCTGTCCTTTGAACGTATATGTGGTGTGTCGTTCCCATGTGTGAATCAGTCCTTATCAGTTGCACTGTCCGTTCCAAACGATCAGGTGAACCTTTCACCCTGCACGAATCTGCTTCTTCCCCAGCATGCATTGTGTCCATCAGTGCTGCGTCCAGCGGCAATTCGTCAGTGCCACCTGGCCCTTGTCGGTGTCTGTGTGTCGCTTCAGAATAACAGTTATGAGTATGCCGTGAGTGTCGCGGATTTCACGCTCAGTTGCGTTTGCCTAATGAGCTTTCAATGTTGTCCGTCGACGGCTTTCAGAGCTTTGTATGTCTACGACTGGCAGTGGCGATCTGATGGATGAATGTCTTCTACCGACTGGACTGCTCATGGACTGTACAGGCTACGGTGCTGGTGCCAGCACTTCTGATCAACACCATGCCGGCGGCTACGACATGTACATCGGCGACTACTGCCAGCAGATCACCTCCTATCCGCAGCACCCATCCGATCCGCCACAGTCTGCAGGTCGGGACACACCACAACGTAGCGGTGGCAAAGCGGTTGCTCAACAAGCGAAGAAGAGAGGAATTTTCCCGAAGCCAGCGACCAACATACTTCGAGCGTGGCTTTTCCAGCACTTAACGGTAATTGCATCTAACAGCTTTTACTCACTTGCTTTTCTGTGTTCTTGGAATTTTTGTTCGCGACGCAGCGACACCACCTGACTGGCTGCGATTGACGTGGTTCATTTATGTTTTTGTGTGCACTTTTTTGTTTCACAAGTGTTCTCTCAAAGCAACTTCGCGTCTCTCTTTTTTTTGCAACAGTATTATGCTCCCAGATATCATGACATAAATCCCATGGTACCTCTCAAACAGGCCCTAATTCACTTGAAGAGCTTCTGAATTTTACTCGACGCGAAGCAAGTGGTTCGGTGCGGGACCCGCCTTGATGGTGTGGGTCCTAATTGGTTGGTGAGTTTGCAGGCGACGAACTGCTGTCGCTGTGTGGTTCAAACGAGGACGGTCGAGAGAGTGTGCTCAGTGACGGTCAGAATGGTTCCATAAATGGACACAAACGTAAAGTGCCGAAAGTGTTCTCGAAAGAAGCAATCACAAAGTTCCGTGCATGGCTATTCCAGAATCTCACGGTAGGTTCGCAGCAATCGATTGGTTTCTTCAGATCACCGGCCATTTTACAAATCGCTGACTTCTATACTGTCCAAGCACCCATATGCCTTTGAAGTTGGTATGACGGGCACTTCGGAAATTGAAAAGCAAATGATTGTTTGGCGCGACTATCTGAGTGTTCCGTGTTGGTGTATGATGAGATTTCAACAAGCAAATCAGAAGGTGACTTAATAAATGACTCCATCACGTACCCAATAGTCGTCGGGTTTACATACTCATTTCTTCCGGTGGATTACTGTAATTGCGTTTTTGTGTCGCCGGGAAGTCGTTACGTGACGATTCGCTAATAACTGCACGCGAGACAGGAAATTGGCGTGTGCAGATTTCCAGGCCGCTGTACGAGTGGTGGTGGTACGGTAGAAGAAAATTGTTCTACATGACACCATCAGAAGGATCATGTGAGACGTGAATATTTTTTGGCGTTGGAGGAAATTTCCTGGTTGGCTCATCGAAGAACTCTTCTTGGCTGATTGGTTTTTGCCTTGCCAAGAATGCAAAGGACGATTCAAACACCTCTTTATGTTGCACACAATCACCGTATCTCGGAAATTTGAGTCGGTCATTGTGCGCTGATGATCGGTGTAACAATATTTTACACACTCAGGTCAATTTCTGGCGCGTGTATTGCTCGCGGTGAGTCGAAAAACTGACGGATGTCATCGTCGTGCGTTACGCGGACGTGCGGTACCATCCGTCGCGAAGGCCGACGACGGTACACAACGAGCTGTCCAATGAACAGCTATGACGTTGGTACAAGGAAACTAAGTTGTGGTGATTTATGGTGGTGTAATTGTGATACATCGGGGTAGTGTGTTCAGATGAGTAGGCGCAGATGTATATAGCCCGGCGGAATCCAAAGTTCATTCCCAACTCAACTCAAAACTGCTACACCTTCAATTTCACTTGGTTTTCTCAGTGAAAATAGTAAAAAACCATTCTATTCAAAACGATTCACAAAGCCAGTTGAAGATGGAGCGTTTCCAAACAGTAGGTAAGCCACCGATCCAGTTTTGAAGTAATTGAGGCACAGCCAATACCATAGGACTATTGAAATTCCAAAAAAATATGTACTTCTACCGCGTCAATCCTAGACAGGTCATAGTTTGATGTCGCCGCTTGTAGCACGCGAATTTCGCATCGCAGCGCCGAGGCGAACTATGAACGTTAGTTACCAACGTTGCGAATGCGCATGTGCACGTGGGTTCATTATTCTCGATGGAATGGCAATCACTCCCCTGCTGAACGGATATCCCCATTCCTCATCTGAGCGACATGGCAAAATTTATCGTGCGTCATCGCGTTACGTGGCGCATGCGATGCGAAATCGCCGCTGTCACGATGACTGACGCCGTCATGGTACTTTTTGTCTCCCTGCCTCGTTTAAGTAAAGTATTTTCAGCACCCCTACCCATCAGAAGAACAGAAAAAGCAGCTGGCAAATGACACGGGGCTTACCATACTACAGGTCAACAATTGGTGAGTTTTTTCGTATCACTTTCACAACTTATATTCATTTGTAGATACACAGTCCCATAAAAAAGCATTTTCTATATTCCCGCATTGGCGATGAGCTGGAGCCCCTTCTCTGTGATTTTTTGCGTAGTTTCTGCATCCGCTCTATCTCTTTATCTCTGTTATGGCTTGTTTTCGATTTAGACCTAATTCCAGCAGCACTTCTGAATAGGATTAGGCAGATCTATGTAGCAGATCCTGATAAGATGAGCGCATCAAGCGTTCTCTCTCATGACCACAACCCTGTAAACATCTTATTGACTTTCTTTTGAGAGTTTGGGGCATCCATGTCACAACTTTCAAGTAATTTCTTTCATTTTATAAAGTCAAAATGCATTAAATGTGAATTTTGCCGTACTGTAGAGCCTCCCCCTACCGAGAGACAGTCACTCCGAGATGTGTTTGCATTAGCGGTGCACCTTTGTGGTATTATCAAATTAGAGAAGTGTTTGATATGACACGCAATCGGGCTGACGACGGCGATTATGCAATTGCCGGCTGAAATGTGAAACCCTGATGGTCGGTCGCGACACGAAACTCGGCCACGCCTGACCGTATGGCGCGTCATAGTAGACGATAATGGCTGATCATCTCACAATTACTCAGGCATGACCGAACACGAATATGATGCGCTAAAGTGAATAATTACCATTAAATGGTTGACGTTTATTCGAGGTTAGCCATGAGATGGATGAATGACAGTCCCACTGTGTAAAGCATTGCATAGGGTATTGGCCAAGGGAGCGATGAAGATACCCAACGGGGAGCCACATCGAGGGATATAATCGTACGGAATAATTGTAGTGTTTCTGGGGCAGTTGGTCTGTTGAAAAGCCGGTTTTTTTACTGAGCCATCGATTTCGTCTACAGTCTACACTGAAGCGGAGGTTAATTACAGCATGCTCAACTACCTTTGTTCGGTCCTCAAACGGGCCCCTCAAAAGACCTTGTCGTGATCGACATTCGCTTACGTGAATCCCGCAAGAGGGACCGTTATGTTGTCGGGCGGTTACTGCTGTTATCGATGAACTAGGAGGGCTATTCTCCCCAGCCTTCGCTAAGGAATTGGTGAGAGAAAGAAAGCTAAAAGCTCATGTCTCCTGTACAGCGACATAATAGTTGTACAGCAAAGGTCAAGGACCATGGGCAATGCTCTCGATTCACCTAATGAATGGCGTTGCTCAAGTTACAGGAAGACTAGTATCCTCATAGAGTGGATTCAGTGAAGACTGAACCTTCTCCTAATACGGTACTACTGTTTTACTATTCCATTAGTCCGTAGTTATATGTTTGAACGGCAATGTAATGAATTTGCAATGAGTAGTGCTTGAGCAGCAGCATGCGGCAGCTCCACCGCTCAAAGGCTCACCGCCGGCTGCTAATTGGCCATCCGGCAGCTCATGATGAGGTGTTTTACAGCCAGGATTTCCTCCTTTTCATCGTTCATCTACAGTTACGCCATTTTGCATAATAAACATTTTTGTATTTCACCCCGCCCGAATTGTACTCAACGAGGATCCCAGCGCAATCATACTCATTCACGAGCCGCGCTACTGCCTCGCGATGTTGTCCTTATAGGGCTGTGTGTTCATTTCGAAAACGTCAATTAAGCTGCAGCGGCGTGCTCCCCCGCTCCGCTCCGGCCCGGGCGGCTGAGAGGCGCAAACGTTCCCCGCTCTGTTCCTCTCTGACGTCTCTTTCTTTCAGATTAAATTGATAACAGTGGTGATCAATCAAGTGCCTCGCCTTTTTGCTTCAGCCGCGCCGCCGACGCGACGCGATGTTTTTGAATCAAATTGTCGTGGGGCTGTGTCCCCCGTGTACAGCAATTATACCTACGTCGAATAGATCGTACGGGAACAGATTGAGTTCTACTGTTCTGGGAACGCCAAAGTTAAAAGTGTTGCTCGGATGCTAAAGAATAAACAGGCTCTATTCGTCTAGTTCCGTATATGAACTCTGGTAGTTGAGCAGTTCGGGAATGCTGCTACACAACAAGACTGCTCTCAAGTGTATTTCGCAGCTTTGCTCTGGTGAGTCGAGGAACGAGCAGTACCTATTGACTGGGGACAACCGATCTGATGAAGGTTTTTACCACCAAACCAGCATGAATAGCTCCAGCATTTCGTTCAGTTTTTCGCCATGGCGTACTTCCTTGGTTCCCCTGCCGAAAGAGGAAGTCAGATGCTAAGCTGTCAAGTATGGTCGTCTTTACGAGCGGCGATTAGCCGTCCAGCTATTAGGGATATAGTCTATGATGCTGTTAATCTACGAAACGCGATATTGTGTTAATCTGGCGCAGCAATCACAGCAGCAATAGGAAACAGTGCAGGCCGCCCGCGTTCCCTCGCCGATTACCGTAACCACGGGCCTTGACGGTTAGGAAACGCCTGGTTGGCGGAGGAATTAGAGAGCAGTTGGTTGTAGAGAGCATGGCGAAACAGGAGACGGCAGACGATGAAAATCGCCAGCCTTGGCAATGATGGATGACGGCAGCTGGCCGCGCTGACAACACTGAGAGAGAGCAGCGACAGAGACACGGGTCGAATGATACCCCATCAGAGGAGACGGAAGGGTTACTCCGGGGACGGGCACGGTTTCGGTGTTCAGTAGCGGAAAACCTCGTCGTGTTGCTGGCATGGAGACGGTGGCATCAGATGAGCGTCGTCAACGTCATCGGCACCAAGGGAATCGATCGTGAGCGAGGCGACGTGACATCGTGGCTGACGATCGTGATTGATGGCCAAGTTTTCGCCGTCGCTTGCGCTCGCTGGCCCCTTCTCTTCACCCCAGTCAATTCACACAATTCAGTGGTGGGTGAATGATAGCGCAGGGGGGTGAGCGTTTGATGGCATGATTGAAATCGTTGTCATCGGCGGTCGTCTGAATCCCTGATGCACCTGACAAGTGCTCTGAGACAATGTCAACGGGAGAAGGATAGCTTGTCCAGCTACTGAGAGCTATATTGACTCCCACAGATATCAGCAAATCATTCTACGCTCTAAGCGATTAGTGGGAATCCCAAGATGACATAAATTGGCTCATATTTTACTTTTATAACTATCCGTGAGCTTTGAAAATAATTGTTCTTGACTACCTTAATATTCCAATTCCTGCACCATCATTACTTTTACTCCTTTGATCCAAGCGACTAATTAAGCCGTAGGAACAGCTTCCGACTTGCGTAGTCCATAGGTCTAACCTCAGTGCCGTTAATGGGGCTCATAAAAGTTATTCACGACGCTTACGACAACGATGACTTCGACGTTGTTGCGTACGACGCTGATATCGCAACCCTTTACGATTTCCGCGCCCTAGTGAGTCGTCATAAAAGCGATTTACGTCTGCATTATGAAGTGAGATAGAGGGAAAGGTGCTGGAGTGACGCTGAAGGTTTGAGAACAGATCGTATCGCCGTCCATCGTGAGCAATCGTTTTCACCGATCGGAAATCGAAGCACTCACGCCATTTAACGGGTTTTCTCTATTTGATGGTTTTATTGCTTTGAAAGGGACTGAATGAAAAAGTAGCAATGGTTGTTCAGTCAATGTGGGAGCTATTAAGCTGAAGGTGTCCTTTGACCCGAACAGGCAGTAAATCTGCTAAAACACCCTCAAATTTGTGATCGCAAAGCTAGTCCATGAGATGCATAAGAGAAAACCTGGAAAGTCTCTCCTCTTGCTATAGTTGCAGAACAGCGATAGGCCTGTCCCAAGTCATGGGGATGGAAAGTGTGACCAAATGAATAAGGGTAACTTGAAGCTGACAGCTGCTAGGTTAACCTCGAATGTCGCTGCCTCTTCCTTGTCAATGTGACGCTAGCATTTCGAAGCAAAAGCCTATCGTATACTCTGAAAGCAGTTAATGCCAAGATTCTTCCGCTTCAGTTTGATAGTAGTATTTCCGAGTGACGCCTTAAGAAGCCGAACTTTCAGACATGAAAGCACTATAGATCCTCGCAGTTTGCCTAAAGACTTGCTAGTGTAGAAGGCTGTTGATTTCCAGTGAACTGAAAGCTTCATCCTGGGATTTCGAGCATACTTGTAGAGATGTCGTAGGGAACACCCTTCATACGACTAGTGTACGGCCGTATTCCTATCAGTTTTGAAAGGTGTCTCTGAAATATGTCTGAGACCTATGAAGCCTTAAGAATGAGATACGTAGACACATAGACAAACAGAGGGTTCACGTCTATTTCAAGGCCGAATTTCGGCGACTTGCACTCAACAAATATCATTTTTAAGCGTTCTCAATTTAATGAATTCTGCCTTTGAGACCACTCAAATTTACGGTATGCAACTTGGCGTTAATCAACTTTCTCAGCCTTTCCTTTTGCTTTTAATTTCTGTCATTTATTTCAGGTTCATCAATGCTCGACGTCGTATTGTACAACCGATGATAGATCAGAGTAATCGTGCTGGTCGAGCGCCGGCTGTGAGCGTTTTCAAAAATCGAAGGCGGAATAGGAGCGATCAAAGTCCCGGGCCGAGTCCAGGTGAGGTTTCCAATTAGTCAGTGAGAGCAGCTGTGCACAAATTCTTGTAGAAATCTCCCTCACATTATATTCGCTCTCGGAGGAGCAGACTAGGAGATGTTTCTCTCTGTAAGCGTCTCATACAACTTCAAATCCGAATATGTGACGCAAGCTCTGTTTTGGTTGGAAGTTATTTCTGTCAGAGTCCAAATATAAACTGTTGCAGCCGTCAGTAATATTCTTAGTAATTGTAAGTAAGCTACTTAATGTCAAGGCTTATCGGATAACTAAGAGAATCTTACTGTAAACAAAATGCTTGGTAAACATCCCCACAGTTTCCGANTTGGTTTGATTTTTATCAAACTTTTTCTTTCTCTGAGTTCGAAAAAGCGAAAGCGGTTCAGGACCATAGCAATAAAATGGGAGGGAAAGTCCTGCCAAGCCAGACTGCCTTATTTCTCTCATTTCTTTATTAACTTTCGTATAAGCATTGGTGTAACTTAGCTGTTCATTTTCAAATTGAAGATCTTGGAGCCGGTTACTCACCCGATGCGGCAGCTGCCGTCACAATGCCAATGGCGTACCCAGGAGCAGATATTTACAATATGCAGCGGACCATGTTCCCAACCGCTCATTATAGCGCCTTCCCGAATCCGTAAGTCGTTTACTTGTCAGTCTTCAAGAAACGGTAATTTAAGAATGAGATGAACCTTCGTTTTTTCGTCATCAATATCTCCAAGCCAATCTTTCTTCAGAGCTATGGCCAATCCATTTATGCCTCAAATGGGAATGATGGGTTTCCCACCAGCAGGTACCGCGCCCTGGATGGATCCTAGCCTCTTGTCGTCCACACACGGTATGGAAGGTTGAAGTCCGAAGCAGCGCTAACTTTTTCGTGGTTACTCATTCGTATTTATGTAGTGTAGAGACGTCTTTCCCGTCGTCAACTTTTTTTTGTTTATTGTTTGCTTATGAAACATTAGTGATGATTATGTTAGGTCGTCTCAAAAGAAGCCAACTTTTTTTAATGATTTCTCAGGTAAAAGTTATCTATAGGCAGTTGAATAAGAGGCATAGCCACAGTTGTAATCCATAACTTCTTACGTTCGATCACTAAATGTGGCTATACCGCAAATAGGGGAAGCCTGCGGCGCTGAAATTCTGAAGTGACGCCATTGGTTATCATACAGCGGGGCATTCGTTCTATTTGGGAATATTATTCTGCCCAAGGAGCGTGAAACTCGCAAAGGCGGGGTGTAGTTTGATCAACGAACACCTTGGAAACGGTTTGGTGTAGGTCCTCGTTGAATAAATAGGTTAGGTGCGATTCTTTTTCTGATCAGGTTTCGAATCTTTTTTCCCAGGGGAACGATAAGTCGGGCTGCTCAACACGCAGGAGGAGCCATGAAGTCACCTACTAAGTTGGCTTTGGCCTGGCTATGAGGAGTCAGTGGCAAAATCCCCAAGAACCGACTTTGGAATAGCTCTAAAAGTGAAATTCGGGAATCTCCTCCCACTTAAAAACAAAAGTAAGTTTCCTTTGAGACGACCTAAAACATGAGTGCCCATTACACTCTCAACGCAACTGCTCAGTTTTCATCGATCTGAGAAAGTCGATATTCTAATCGATAAATTCATTTCTCTCTCTCTCCATCCACGACATCATTTATTTCATGACGTATTCTAGTTTTAACTGTGCTGTATTTCAACATGTCGTTCTAGTTAGTGGGATTTTGTGACCCCAATTTGTCGTTGTTGACCCCATCCCCACTTCCCGTCGCACACATTTTTGACACAGGGTCTCTTTAATTTTGTTTGTTGAGCTGTGTGTGCTCGTTTTCCTTGTCCTTAGTACGTATTTTGAGATAGCTTCAGTGGGTTCATGCTTGCTCGCCGACGTCGCCGAGACCCGAATGCGGTCGCGCGATGTCGCGCGATCACTAGTGCTAGGAGGCGATCCCCGTAACCATGACGCGAGTCAGTTCGCGATTTAAGTCGCCTTCTGGCCTTCATTGCTGTGTATTTTATTGGTTCGATTATTGATGTTCGGATTGTACTATGTGCTATGATGCAAAATCGTAAAGATTTTATATTTGAACTGTCTTGTAAAGCAACGCATCGTCGCACTTGAGAGAACTTTTGGGTGTTTCTCGAAACTGTTCTTCCTGGAGCGGTATGACTCGCGTAAAGCAATGATTTCTCTTTTCTTTTCAAACTATATTGTTGATCGAAGAACGCCTTCCTAATCAGGTGTGTGCGATTGCTAAGAAAACAAGCAGCTGGTTGATGATTAAATCTGTGAACGTCACTTTTGCCACCCCCAGAACATAGACTTCAAGGTGCCTATAAAAATATGCTGAGCCCTCAGTCTTCTTCATCCTTTTCTGCAGCGGAGTGGAGTTAATTTTTCCAGAAACTCTGCTGTCATTAAGTTAATAGCTGTTGTACTTTTCCTTGAAACTATAGACATGATCACAACAGAAGGGTTTATGGCTTAGCCTCAAATATGAAATGTCGTCTCAATTATCTAGATGAATGCCTACATCGTCATCAATATCGTCATGCATTAGCGATAGATTTAGGCGAATTTTCTGCTTGCTACCATCTAACGGGATGGATACTCTACAGTTTTATTATGAATTTCATCATATTCAATTCACTATTAGCATCAATAGGTTTCGCTACTGAGAGTCGCCTGTGGCGACAGCGAATTTCATCTGCATGAGCGGTGGAACCTTGGCCTCTAAAGAAGACGATCGCGTCGAAATGTTAGGCCGTTGATTAAATAAATTGTTCCCCCTATCAACCTCGCACGGCACAAAAATATTCCAGTCATAAACATCAATAGGCTTATTGACGACTTCGATGAGTTGTGGACTATGGAGAAATACCAAAAAAATTGACCAGGTCAACACGAAATAAATGGTAGAGTATTCCCGTGAATGGGGGTCTTAAATATGTTGAAACAGCTGCTGACCATAAATCTCTTCTAGCGCTTTTGACTTCATCAGCAAAGCCGTCTTACGATTAATTCCAACTTCGTAAACGGATCAAATTTTGAAGATGCAAGGGGGAAAACTGATCATAACAATCCCCCCCCCCCNNCCCTTCTCCTCCCCCACTCTCACCATGCGTCTTCTGAAGCCCGGATGATGAGAGTTATCCGAGCACAGTGTGGTCAACACGAGCTAATTATTACTTATGATATAATTGAACCTAAGTGATGTGAATAACTGTATAGCAAGTTTTTTAGCCATCCTGGACTACGTAGGACTAGTGGTATGCTAACATGAGATTCATTTGGCAAGAAAAAACCTCTCGTGAGACGGTTACACTGAACATATTTCATAAATAATGGCAGTTAGCGTCGAAAAAACAGACTGAACGAAAACCGCAAACCTTCATGGAGGTCTTTTTGCGTTTTCGAAGTAGAACTACGACAGAATTTCAAGTTTGAAAGTTCATAGCCTTGTTCAAGTAGGAAAACCGGGGGTGATTCCTGTTGGACCCTAAGTTCCGTTTGTTTTCTTCAATGTAACAGTTCTGAAGATATACTGAAATAAAACTACAAGACCGCCCGAGTCACCTACTTCTGACTCGAATGTTGGCCAAAAATTGCTGTCACACTGAAAGGGGCTGGTAATTGTGAATGTCAACCTCGAATAGACCTTTAATTGCTACCACTATCACTGCCCACTGCATATGTTAATGCTTCCCGAAGTGCTAAGGGCTCAAGTTGTTTCCCAGATGGCTTCCATTCCATCAACGTCTTTGTCTTCCAATTTTGTTTCAGTTCTACGATATGAACCTGGTCATCTCGCTTAACTCGATGCTAGTTTCAGAGATCGAGCGGATGTCCTAACAATGTACTAAACGGTAATGCCCATGATAGCTGAGCTAGTCAGTTTGAATCCATTCTCCGTCAATGGAAGTACCGTAATCACACACATCGTCTATAGTCGTCCGCTTCATTTCTATTTGCTTTGCTCCGCTCTTTTTCATCTCGAACGCTATGGCTCTCTCGTCTGTATGCTCGCGGCCCTGTCATTCATAGGCGATGTCCGGCTGTCACTCAAAAGTCGCCGAAATTAAACCAAGAAAAAGGCAATTCACTTCAAAATTGGAGCAGTATTCGTGGAAAATAACCGAATTCGCCCAGTGTACGGTACATTTCGGAATTCGCATATCAATGAATGCCTGTTGAGAACGTATTGATTTGATAGTATTTTCCTCCTAGAATGCGGGATATGGACAAAGGCGGAACTCTGCTCCTGTTTTAGCTTCAAGCAGATAGACTCTCTGTTTTCTCACTGGCTCCAAATGAAAACATGGATGCGGCTTCTAAAATTGTCTATGCTACTTTCCTAATTATGAGGGAAGGCTGAGAAACATTAGGCGTAATAGAAACACTTGAAGGGGGGTGTTGATTGTGATGTTTATTGTATTTGTCCAAAAATGACGGCACAGGCAAGAGTTGATCTCACTACAACGAGTTGAAGCCTTCACTAAAAAATGTGAGTGATGGAAGTAAATAGCCGAAATGCCAAGGAAGCAAGGAGGGATGAGGGAAGATTTCTAAGACGACGGAAAAGGAAACGGATAAAAACCATCTTTTTTATGTTCTTCTGAAGTTGATAGAGGCATGATCGCAGATGTTCGCCCACTTGGTCACTTGTTTATTTGGAAGAGAACTTCCGACTTTTGATTAACGTTGTCCATTGATTATTCCTGAATTGTTTACAGTTAATTTCGAAGCATCTCTGCTTGCTTAAACACATCAACTTCGATGAGATTTCAAAACTTTGTAATCCTAGCACTATTTCCCTAACTTTATTCGATTGCTTATTTTTGACTGTATGTTAGAGAAATATAAAAAAAGTTTGGCAACGATCAATACAAAAAGAACGAAAGTAATTAACGTTGATAACATCTAAGCGGTAGAAGTAATTCATGAATAACGGCAGTTATTGTTGGAAAAAGCGGAATTAACGAATACCACAAACCTCAAGGTGGTCTTTTTCATTTTCAGTAGAACTACGACAGTATTACAACTCCGAAATTTCATAGCCCCGTTCAGGTGAAAGAATTGTAATGAATCTAAATGATGACCCACCGTAGTCCAGAATTCTTTTCTTTTTTTCCGCTGGGCCTTTAATGGTACGAATTAAGAATTAAAAGAATAAAGTTGGTAAATGAAAAAGTGTTAGTAGTCTTAAGGAATAGGGTAACGGAACTTCTCCCACGGCCTGCGGTAGTGATTCCGCGGCGACTCTCCGTATTCTTCCATTGGGAATTCAAATCTTTCCCTTCATAGCGCGCGATCGCGTGCGGCGAGCGCGACACGCGGTTCGGGGAGAAGATGCCAGATCCTAAAAGAAATATTAAAATGTTGATGTGGAAAAAGTAAAGATTCAGTAGAGAGCCACATATGTAATGAATCAATGAAAATAAGTAGTGGCTGTATATCGTAGATATGAGAGGTGTTCACTAGATCCCCTGCTTGAAGACCTTGAGCAAAGGATCTGTTGTAGTGAAGCAGATTCGTTCAAATTCAAGCCTAACACCTTTTGTTTGATAGGAAGAGCAGCATTGCTAAGAGTTTCCTGCTATGAACATAAACAACTGGGATCGATTACGGTTCGAGCTCATGAAGAACTTG